ATCCTATCAAATTTTCAATCAAATGCGCATGTACATATTGCTGCATGTGTTGCCTTGTACAATCTCTTCAAAACCTGTCACAAGTTTGTGTTCACCTACAGTATGTCTGTGCTACAGACATGTTGTACTCTGAACCCCTTGGAGTTTACATTTATGAGTATTTCTAAGTTCTAAGAAAACAAAATTTTGTTCTCAAAGCACAAGGTTGACATGGTGACATAATTTTCTGTCTGGTGGACAGTGTCTCTTACCTTTGTCCATTTAATATAAGGCTAAAGTGAGCGGCTGGTTAGCTTAGCTTAGCACAGCAACTGGAAACAGCATGGCTCAGTTCAAATGTAGAGAAATCCACCTGCCAACAAGTCTGACCACTCACTGAACACATTACATCTTGTTTGCTAGATCCATACAGAAACCAAAGTTCAAAATGTTTCCTTTACAGTAGCAACTTGGTAGAATCTCCACTGGTTGCTTGGCAGTGGCTCCCAGCCAAGGTGCATATACACCGGGTAGGATGTATCATGAGAGCTGGATACAGCAAAGCCACTCAGCCCTTCATTCCATTTTTCCTTTGACTCAAAAAGTAGATTCTCCATAGACCACAATGATAAAAGAGACATCAGTCAAACTGCTGACAGGACACCTCAAAATGCAAACCAGGTCAATTATTACACTTTGTTTTTAAGAATTTTGATCCCATGGAGGTTTTATATTTGTAAAACTTTCCCAGGGCCTAGTGAAGTGAGTTTTATTTTAGTGAAACCATCACAATGTAAAGTTCATGAGCTGAGTGGGAGCACACAAACAGGAGCAGCAGGGGAAACATTAATGTGCATGTGCAGTGGGCCACAAAACATGGAAACAGTCCTGGAATGCAGAAAACCTTTTTGGATCATGAACCGGTGAGCAATTGTGATTCAAGTGACTGGGCACTGACTTAAACCTGGTATCCAGTTTTCCTATTACAGCCATGATCACCGGTCTTTATGCTAACCTCACCGACTGCTAGCGGTAGCCTCATATTTATCATACAGACATAAGAATTGTAAGCCAGCTACAATGCAAATAAGTATGTCTCCAAAAATGTCAAAGATTTTTACTTTTATATTCCACTGAAGTCAGAAATTATATTTGCACCTGGTAAATACATGCCCTGTCCTTTATCACAGCCATTTTCATCTCCTTCTTCTGTCTTTGATCCACTTCTAACTATATTTTTACTGCATTTTCCATGTATTTAAATACTGGCACTACCTCAGCAGGAGATCTTAATACCTCCTGTGCGAAAAGTCTCAGATACACAGGAAAAAGAAAAAGAGGATACTCCGTTCTTCTCTCCAAAATTTCAGCGACATAGGTTCAGAGCATTTTGGTTCTAGAGGGATACTAATGGCACAGCCGTCCCTCACAATTAGGAAGGGGGGACTTGAGCGGTCAGGATAAATTAAAAAGCCAACTTGCTATTTTACTGTTCAGATGTTGATGCTATAAAGCAGAAAAATAGCTTCTGGTAGCCTTTACGTGACTATTCAGGTGATATTACATGATTTTCTCCCAGCCCTGAATCTAAGCCTTTTTGGTACAGCATGCTACAGGGCACCTTGACCGAGCTAAGGGACCTCTAAATGCTCCAGTAAATATTCTTTAACACTTTATTTAGTTCCACGCCCTGGGCCAACAGTTTATCAAATATGTCACCTAGTAACAGTGGGGAGAAAAATACCTAAGAGCTAAATAGGATGTAATGCAGATTTGCTGTAATTAACAAGCCAAGCATGGGGTCACATAAACACACACTCAAACAGATGCTCAAAGATGTGTGCATGAAATGCAAAGGCACTCACACAAACTTTAGCAAACACATATCTGTAGGTGAATGAGTTCAAAGTCACACACACAGTTTTAACGAGGCAACACAAAAATCCAAGCCACACATCCCTGGGCAAAGAGCAATAGTGTGAAAATATGTGAGTGTAAATGAGATGCAGACAAGCACACACAGCAGTGAACCCAGCAGAGACAGAGAGAGGAAGTGGTTTGGCTTTGAATTGCTAAACTAAAGTTTGACGAGATAGAAGGAATCATATTTTGAATTCAATGAATACTGACTATCTGCAACAGAGTGGAAAAGGGGTTGTACTTTTTCTTCTGCTGGTCCTTTAGGATCTAATCAGAGAAAAACAAACAAACAAACAAACAAACAAAAAATATAAAAAAAAATAATCCACAATTATGTGGGGATTGACCTCTTTGTCATGTGTAGCTCAAGGAGTATGTACAGTATTGTATGAAGAGGTAAATGGCCTAATACTTATGTATATAGCACTTTTCTACACACTGAGATACCACTGGATAAACATGGTGCAGTAAAACATACATAATATTTGCTTCTGAAATGTAGCCAAGTGTATCTTAAGTACTTAAGTACAATACTTGAGTATTTGCAATCCCTGCATTTATCTGACAGCTGCAGTTACTTTACCTATTGATTTAACATGCAAAACATAACATGCACGCATGTCCTCAACTACATTAAACTATGATTCTCAAATTTTTCACCGAGACCTTGAACACCTCATGAATAATTTCTGTTAAATCCAACAACCAATATTTCATCAGTTCTGGCAAATGATTGGTTCTTTTTATTAATCTAATCTAAATGAGCAAGGCTTGTTGAGAAAGAGAGAAGTCAACACTTCAATCATTTATTTCTATTCAGTCAGTGACATGAGAGCAGATGGGTCTGATGTAAATGTTTGGCACCTGAACCCGGGAGACAAGCTGCGCTGTGATCTCACATTCATACTACTCACATGAAGAGTTTGGTTTCAAAAGAAGATCATTTGAATAAATAAAAAAAAGACTGCTCGAGTGAGACAAAGGGAAAACATCAGTGAATCAGAATAAATGACAAATTACATGATTTGTCAGGGTATTGTGTGTTATTTTCTGTTTGATGAAAGCTTTTGTGTCTGTTTTGACAGACTTCACTTTTTTCTCTTTAAAAACGATAGCACAATTAACAAAAAAAACTTTTCCATTCAAAACCAAATAAAACCTATAAATAGTCTGTTAAATAAATAAATAGAAAATGTAAATAAAATAGAGTTGTGTAAACAGTACATTATAAGCACTAATTATATATCCCGCTACTTCATACATTCATGTAAGGATCATGATGTTTACTGTACATGGTGATTATGAACACAGCATGACTGAAATGTAGAATTTTTGTAATATTAAATCAAAACCACTCAAGATTCATCTAAAATTACAGTAATAATGTAACATTACAAGGAATATTCAAAGTAAGATAAAGTGGCTTTACTTGTTGCACACTTCATTGTATTATTGATTTAATTTAAAATTGATTAAGTTTTTTTTAATGTTTAATTCTACAAAAAGAAATTCCTCTCAGACAAAACACATTTTTAAAAATTGCAGTTTTTGATTTTTGATAATGTGATGCTTTTCTAAGCCACTGTGTGAGTTTTAAACTACTAGCACAGATGGAGTTGTATAACTTTAACAATTATTTCGAGTGTAATGGCATGTTGACATTGTCACAGAAAAACGGCTTTTCTGCCTTGCCATTGTTGTGTACGTGGTTTTACACCAGTGTCTGTGGAGTGGGGGTGGGCTGAGAGATCAAATTTGTTTAATTTCAAACCCAGTTGCACTGACCTTTGTGCACACAGCCAATCACTGTTGAATGCTGCCTGAACTTATGAGAAGCTAATTAGCCTGATTGTGTTCCTGAATTGCTCAGCAAAATATCAGCAGGCATGAGCCACTATCAAGATTGTTTAAAAAAGACAGGTTGAGCCTCTAAAGCCAAGGTTTTCAACCAGTGGTCCATGGCCCCTGGTGGTCCATAAAGGCATAGCAAATGGTCCCTGACCATGCATTCAATAACATAGTTTCACTATGGGAATCACACTTTTTAAAAACACATTTCCATGTAAAAGTGATTATTTATGAGTAATCAAATTTATTCAAATATATAAACTTTTAAAAAAGTCAAGGTGACTTTCAGAATTAAAATAGTGCCCATTGGGTCTATCCACCCCACAACAATGGTCCCTATGTTGCTTCTTAGTCACAGTGGTGGTCCCTGGGTCACAATCAGTTGGAAATCCCTGTTCTAAAGCATAGTGATCTACTGCTAGCTACATTAGCATGTTGCGCATTTGGACCAAAGGACTTTTTTCATAGTTCATAGAACTATTAGGCAAACACCACAAGAACTGAGAACAAGAATAGTTCTTAGAACACCATTTTGAGGGACTTTTTTGGTTCCTTCTTCATGTACATTGACTGCAGTGCTACTAACTGTCTTTTTTTTTTTTTTACTGTGTTTACCATGTAAACAATAGCAACCAATATTCATCACCAGCAGCGTGGGGAGCTGCAGTCCGCCAACGTAAGCATCTGCAGAGGGTTATTGGGTTAGCAACATATAAAGAAAATACTTACTGGTAATAGTAACACTGTTAACTTTTGTGAACTGGTTGGCTAATCGCTAACAGTCAGCTGGCTTAGTGTTACGTTACTTCAGTGTTCCTACTGGTGCTGTGAATGCAAACCAAAAAAAGCCATTGAAGGTGTGTAGTTCCTGCGGGAGTTCCCCATTGGGGTAGTCCCTAGAACCAAGTCCCAAGAACTGTTTGGTCCAAAAGCACCTATTGTAGCTAAGGTGGTGCCATTTTGTACAGTGCCACCAGGAGTTTCTATTTGAGTTTCTGAGTACAGAACGTGCTGCACAAGACCATCATTTTTCCGTGATAATGTGAACATGCCTTAAAAAGCAACACTTGACTTTAAGTTTACAGAATTGCAATTTGGAGATTTGGAATCAATTCAATTCAGAAAAAAATAATAATGAACAATTTTAGTTCCTTTTCTAAATGGCTGAATTGATGATTTCATACAATTCCCTCTAAGACTAAATGGATAAAAGGTGAGGTAATAAGACGGAGCAACGAAGAAACTTACAATAATCTCATTAAAAACATGTTATCTTCACTTCTCACTTTGAGCCCTCACTTCTCCTCCCCTCTCTCACCTCCAGCTTTCTCAGACAAGTACAAATCATACAGATATTGTATGCATACACACACATTCACTGCCCTTGAATGCAAATATGCATACAATATAGTACATATATGCTCATACAGTACCTATAGTATGTAAGCATTTACAGTGAATATACACAAGGAGCAAATACAGATAGTGGCGTTTACTCATGATTCAGTAACACTGTAAAAGTCAGGCAGATTCATCAACACTTTAATAACATTCCTGTCGCTGACCTCAGCAACTAAACCCTCCCCCCTCACCCCACCCCACCCCAAGCACACACACACGTTTGTTTTCATTCCTCAAGAGGACTTTACATTGACTTATTCATTTCCTGGAGACTTACGCTAACCTGTGAGTGTGTAAATAGATTTTGGTTCCCACAGTGTGAGTAATACCAGGCACACGTGCACACACACACAGAGTTGGGTATTAGCTTATATTAAATATTAAAGGAATATAACTGGACTGAAGCTCAGCAGAATTTTAGGTTTACGTTGCTGATTAAAAATTTTGGCAGATATTAGGACACATTTAAGAGCACCAGTTTAGGTAAAAGAGTCAACTGACTGTCTGGGAGAAGGAAAAAAAAACTCCTGAAGAACACACACACACACACACACACACACACACAGAGCCAAAAATACCCTACACTACCTGCCCATCATTATTTCCTCCCCATACACCTGCATTTCCATCAGAGCCTTCACTCCTCTTCCTCCAGCACTCCTTTTAGTTGTTCACTGCCCTGTTTGGCCACCTCAGCCTCCTTCAGAGCACTGATGACTGGTAATCATGGTGATGGTAGCTCTGGCCCGGTCCCCTTGCGCTGGTTTAGGCTGCTGAGAGCAGCATACAACCCGGTGCTGGCGACGCCATGGACGCCCGGGTCCTGCTGCTGTTGTTGCTCTGTGTAGTACATCTCCAGAGCTGCCGGGGTGCAGTGCTTCTGCTACAACAACAGAAAGACAAGAATATGTTCACTTGTTTCAATTTAGGTAACACCATTAACTGCCATTAACATCACACAGTCTCTGCAAGAGGTTCAACATAGACTGTAGATTTGTTTTTCTAATTAATTTAATTATATTATTAATACTATTTGATAAACCTCTAGGATATAGTCTGTTTAACGAATTAGGAAGTATAATCCACACAGGTGAATACACAGCTTTTCAAACTTATCTGAAGCTTTAGAGAAGAGAAAGGTGAAATCATCAGTTGGTTAAAGATGCATATTAACATTAATGGTTTTCATAGAGGTTTCTGTCTACTGTGCTATAATGTATTCTTCTAAATATCAGGGTCAAAACTTTAAGAGGTTGTTGGGTAAAACATTACAAAGTAGTTTAGAATTACCCAGGAGCACCTAAAACTGTTCTTCAGCAGTGGAACATGTGAGAACAGATGTCAGTGTGACATCATTAAGTGCATTTTCCTTTAATAATCTGCACAGCAAATGTTTGTACAAATCAGATCAGAGGAATTTGTCTTCATATGTACCAGGCTTAGTCCTGTGCATTCAGAACTTGCATTTATGAAACAAAACATCTTTGTGTGTTAGAGGAGGGTAAAGCTGTGCAACATGAGACAGTGTATGTGTGTGTGTGAATTAGATAAGAAAGCTTAACATCCATCCTGTTAGTGTTATACTTGGGAATGAGCCCGTCCTGGCCACACAAGTGTCTCTGCTCAGAGGATCCATTACCTGACATCCCCTCACAGTCAGTGACTATGCCACCCTTCATCCACACTCCTGTTTTTATGTCTCCAACAACACATTAGTGGGAAAAAATGCTGAAAGCAACTATAACCGGCAAAAACTTCAAAAGGCATGTCGGAAGGACTCCCCTCCCCCATTTCTTTCCTTGCTTCCCCCCTCACTGTTAAGCCTTTAATCACAGTTTAGTCACGCTCAGCCCTAATTAAAGAACCCTTCGATTCACAAGCGGGCGTCCCAATCTCTGCCTGATGAGAAAGCAGGCTCTGTTACTACCTCTTCCTCCTCCTTCCTCCCTCCCTCTGTTTCTCCCACTTACTCATTTTCCTCTGTGAGATGGTCTCTTTCACTAACATGTGTGGCAGTGCTGGCTCTCTACACAATGCCTCCAAGGTGTCGTTGGGAGATAATGAGTTTGTGTTTCCAGCTCCAGTTTTCAGCAAATCCTCCAAAAATGATTGATGTTTTGGTGTGCCATGAAGCATAACACCAGATGAGGTGCACTGTAAACTGTTTGGATGTATCACAGACTACTTTAGCTTGGCTAATGTAAGAAATTGTCTGATATCCAAGGATGAGCTTCTGATATGAATAGCTTTTGTAAGTCTCTGCTTTACTGCAGGATGACAATATAGCCACAAGATATCTGGGGTTCCTTTGGTCCCCTTGATCACGTAAATCCACATTTATGCATCTGCGTGCAGACATGTTCATAAAAGACTGCATGTGAGCACACAGTTTTAGCATAGTGAATTAAAATGACTCACAAAAACAGTAAAACAACATATACTAAGCATTGTATTAATGTTGTGTGGGTGTGTGTCTGCTCTGTGGGTGTATGTGTGTATATACTGTATTTGTACCTTAAGGATGAAACCCTCTGGGCAGGTAAGCTGGTCGTACCACATGGCTTTGTACATGAGCAGAAGGAGCAGGCTGGTCAGGAAGGCCAAAGTGATGAGGATCAGACCAGTGATCTGAGCAACAACACACACACACACACACATGAACAAACACCAGATATACATGTACACCACTTTAGCACCAAGCATCATCTAAGGGCTGGCAACGTTATCCCACAAAAAGTCCTAAACCAACATCGTGCCGATCCTCTCAAGACAGTTCTTTCTGATTTCCCTGTCTGTGTCACTCAGCCTTTATTATATTGGTTCCTACTGAAGATATAAATCTTTAAAAAGGGACAACAAATATAAACTTTACATTTTTAAACAGGCTAACTAATTTCCTTAAACAGCTAAGAACTGTAGTTTTTAGCAAATGTTACTCAAACAGCAGAATACAGTGCATTTGTTGGGGACTATTTTCAGGTGTGGATTAGTACATGTTTGCTGCCCTAGTGAGTTCTTCCAGCAGTACAACAGTGTATATGGGACTGACTCAGAAGAAACCACAGTGGCAGAGTTCATGGTAATAAAGGAACATATCACCTCAGGGTAGTAGTGTGGCTCTTTGCCACATAGGCAAAGGTTGTTAGCACTGCAAGATCAGTTTATTGTGGTTCTTTCATGGCATTAACAAGAAAAAAATAATATGAATTATCCTGAAATAATTAGTTCTTTTCTTTTTCTTGTACCTTAACTTTCTCTGAAACATCATTGTAGAACTTGATATTCAGCTTCTTGATGTTCGGCACATGCAGCTTGTTCTTTTTTTGCTGCAGCTGGTACTGTGTCGACGTCTTCACAATGACCTGAGAAGGAAACAATGTACCGTTACTGTGACTCTAAATCCTAAGTGCCAGTTATTTGTTTTACATTATAGTTAATGGATGTTGTTGTCCCCCAGTAATCAGCACAAGTCAAATGAGCCCATATTCACTGAAAACACAGTTCAGCATGTCTGGAAATACATGCGCATCACTTGCAAAAGTAGGCGGTTTTAATCAATGCACAAAACACATTTGGGAGCTACAAAGTGAAATATCCTGTGGTGCTGAGTGTATGATCGCACCAAAATATGACTGTGCATTATACATTCAGAGAGGTGCTTGTATTGCGTAGGCTGATGCCAAGGTTTCAACCTGGGATAGTAGGTAAGGGAAGGGAAATACAGCAGTCTCAATGCTGGGGCTTATGCTAGAAAGGTAAGTACAGCCACATGAATTTTAATGGTGTTTATCTCGATGTGTTCTGCAGTGAAACATAATGTGTTGGCTATTTCTGTTAGGCTATAATGCATAATTTTGCTGTATTTGGAGTGCACCTTGGAAACAGTATTTTGGAGAAAAGCAAACATAAGTGGGCAGGCACATCAGCGTACACCGCACTTACCTTGTCTGCGAATGACTGTTGCAGCTGACTGACCTCCAGGGGTGTGATGAGGGGGATGTTATCAAAGCCATCGTCTGCAGATGGCTGCTTCTCCAGCTTATCAGAAAGATTGCTGCCCAGCTTCACCATGGCTGTAAAATGCCGAGACAAATCTGGATAGCAGGGAGAGAGAGTTCAGGTCAGACTGATGTGAGTGTGTTTTTTGTAATGAAATGTGACAAAATGAGGATCTTTGTGTTAAATGTTAGCATGCTACCATGTTAAATGAAGATAGAGAGCTGTACCTTCTAATACTTTGAAAGCATTGTCATTGTGATAAAAAGAATCCTGAATCTTGCGATCTTTAATTTTTTGAGCATGTTAGCATGCAGATATTAGCACTGAGCTCAAAGCACTGGTTTGCCACTATATAGCATTACAGTGCTGCTAACAATGCTGTTAGTCTCATTAAATCAAATAAAACACTTATATGTAATTTATATTTGATCCATATTAAAACTGAAGCTTAAATAATGAATATTTCTTGGCCTAGTGCTATCTCCACTAGTGCAACTGAACCAGGAAACCAGTGTCGTTTCTGCACTTCAGTTACACGTATTAAATTAACATGATTCAGCGTGTTGATTAGTGAGCTTTAGAGGTGCTAGCAGGTGGATTTTGTTACCTGTGAGCAGAACTGTTTCCCTCTGTTTCCAGTCTTTATGCTAAACTATGATAATCCGCTGCAGGCTCAAGGTATACAGGCATGAGTGTAGTACCAATTTTCTAATGTTGAGCAATAAAGCTAATTAGTGTATTTCTAAATGGTCCTTTAATAATTACCTAATCAATAATTCAATGAGGTTATGATAAGTGGAACTACATTATAACTGTGTGGCTTAAAGTGGGGACATACAGTATTTACTGTAGATAACTTCAGACTTCTGTGTTTGCAATCCTCCGTACAGGGAAGCCAGTTCTCTTCCTGTTTATCTAGTTCAATTATTTAGAGTAAATACATTTTATATATACTGTGCATGATTCTTCTTGTAGGGCTCTACACATCAGCCCAGCCGTTTATCTGTAATGTGTAAATCTAGCACGCCAACAAGGCTGTGAACATCTCTCTGTGTCTCTTTGATCAAGTGATCATCTAAATGCGGAGGGATGAGGTAGGGAACCGCTTATCTCATTCACACTGTGCAACACAACACCTTCCCCCAGCCAAGGACCCTGTAGGCCCACTGACGCCAGTGACTCACAATGCTGATACACACACTATAGGAGGCACAAAGCGACAGTTTTATACTGCAGGAAAAAAAAATCTCTGGTGTGAAAAAATCTGGATATGCTAATAGAGATATGAATTAAATTTATTTAAACTTTATACTGAACATCTGACATTTTGGACTTACAGACCAATCAGTCAAACTAATCACTTTTAAAACCTACAGTATGTAGGCAAAGGTGTATCTTCTGACCTGTTCAGAACCTGTTCATGTGTATCTAACCTGATGTAGTCAGAGAGAAGCCTTACTCAGGTGAATTTTAAAAATCTTCAACGAGTACATAATTCATGACTTATAGCCTTTGGCATCTTTGTTGAGTGGGCGGTTAAAGCGGTCATCTGTGCTGACCACCATTTCTCCTCCCCACAGTTGGATTGAAGTGATGAATCATCCTGAATCTGTGATTAACAAATGGGCTGAGTGTTGCTGTCAAATAGTGTTCTCACACTGACAAGTCCAGGAAATGAAAGAGCTGCACATGACATCTCTTTAATGCACAGCCTCTGCTTTTAATGACATTTTATCCACAGTAAAATAATGCTAATATCAGAATAATAATACTATTTTCTAGTTTAATCCATCAGCACAACTTCACAGTTAATTATCAAGAAACAGTGCAGTGAAGACAGAGCTTTCCAAAAGTGAAGACACGCTGTATTATGAGTAGGTAAGAGCAGGCTGTTTGCTGCCTGTGCCTCTTAAGTTCTTCAGGGTTCACTGGTCATGCATATCTCAACTTGCTGCATTGAAGACTGCTGCGACAACATATACAGGCTGCTGTAACCCAGAGCAGAGATAGCTGAATATAAACACATTTTCTATGTAATTCAAATTTTCAGACACAATTTCTATGTCATTATAAGTGTTATATAAGCGTTATTTCAGCCCATGAAGCCTGTTTTGCGTTCCTGTACGATTTTCAATCTCACACTGTACATATCTGCATGGAAATGGTTGTTTTTAATGAGTAGCAGACCCGAAAGCCTTTAATATAAAGCCACAAGGACAATCATAAAGGTATTTTTAAATTGGAGCCTTATATAATTGGGAGCTCGGCCAAATTAAAGCGCCACTTCAGCCACAGTGCCAGAGGCATAAAGTCTCATATCACACTCGGATAAAGATGCCTGCTTGTCCAATCATCCCCTAAAACAGATGAAAACCCATGAACTACCTGCACTAAGTCAATAACGTCATGTGAAGGAACATCGTCACGTATCGAAATATTCCGCAGCGCTGTACACTCGCTCCACCCGTAAACACATCTGTCTAACACACACTCCAGCCAATACACTCATAGAAATATTAACACAAAACAATTAATAGGACCTTACTGTGGTTCTGTGCGCTCTTCGGTCGCCGGTGGATGGGATCGGACCTCAGTGATGCTGTCGGGGGCTCGGTGTGAACGCCGGTTGCCGTGGTGATGTGTGACTCACGGCAGGACTGCGCACGTAATTCAGCCTGTGGCGGCCGCGTTCTCCGGCAATTCAGTGTGAATGCGCATCTCAACGCGAGGCACTGTGGCTGATCAGGAAATTGCGTTTTATCTGCGGAAAATATTCATATCTGATTTATCTGATTGCTTGTCATCAAGGACAGGAGCTGGGTGTCTTTCAGAAGAAACACAAAAGAGTCGGATTAATAACCAGCATAGTTTCAGCCTGTTCTAGCTTCTCTTCTATTCTTTAGTTAAATGCATTCACATGGACACACCACGGAGCGCAATTACCCTAGAACTTGCAAAACAACACGAAATAAAAGTTGGCTCCATCTAATTATGCAGATTTCCCATGTATAGTCAACCCAGACCAAAAATACACTGGCACATGCAACACGTGCATCACACACAACTCCTACTGTATTTACAGTGAGACTATTAGGGGATGTTTTTGGTATGTTTTCTTTAGTTAGATCACTTTCTGTAATGTTTAAACCGAGTCAACACTATACTTTACTATATTGTCACTCCTATACATCAGCCTCCAGTTATGTGTGTCCAAGGAGGAGTTGTTTAGATATACATAAATACACAACTACACTAAAATAAGTAATAAACCAACATTCCACTTTGTATGATCATTATTAATCTTAAATACAGAGTATTACAGTATAGTCCTGGCTACTTTACAGATTAAGATTTTACATATAAAACATATTAACTTATAACATTAAACAACATTTTTAGATAAATTGTCCCAACAGTTTTTGTTTACATGCATCCACTAATAATTCAATAACAATAATTCTTTAAAAAATATCATTCTGCATGGTCATTTAAACTTTTAATAGTGATGCTGTTTGATAGAAAAAAACATTCTCAATGGTTTGTATTTCATTTGATAGACATTTAGCTGTAATTTAGCATTTTCACTAGAATTTAAAATAAAGATCTCCGGCTGACAAACACATTTGCAGTGATGGACAGGACGTGAAAGGCCAGTGGAGGCAGCGTAGCTCGGCTTTGTCTTTGACCTACCTTAGAGACGTGAGACATTAAAGCTTTTGCATATTTCTGGGTTATTTACTTCTGAGGCAAAGGTGTCTTCTTGTGAGGAAGAGGAAGAGTGGGGTGGCTTACTGAGGAGCTTCTGATACATGGTGATCAGGTTCAGGAGGGGGATTATGTGTGACAGAGAGAAGTGACAGACAGAGATATTTTTGAGTATTTATTCGTGTGTGTGTGAGCGTGAGAAAAAAAGAGAGTGATGTGTTGGAGAATGAGTGGGAAGAAGGAGCCAGGCTCGTCTGCAGATTTAGATCAACCTTTTCATGGAAAGAGGACTCATGCTGTTTTTCTCTTTGGCCATGCCTGGCTGTATGAATTCATTATGCCTTTAGGGGAGCACTCGTCCAAAAATCATCAGTGAACACCCTGCACCCCCCGCCAACCCATCAATTGGGCCTACATTTATTATTTTGACCTTTCCTTTGCAGGGGAGTGACACCAAAGTGGACCCTGAGCTCGGTCCTCTGTAAAGAAACGGAGGTGTCATCCTCACAGTGTGAGAAGCAGACTGCCGGCCTGCGCTGGTTTTGTTGTCAGTGAAGACAAGAGACAGGAGTCTGTGTCAACACAACTGGGTGAAACCAGGCGTGTTAATGTGTACAGGCATGCTGTGTGTATATAAACCTGATGATTTATCATTTTTATAAGTTATTCTTTCCTGAAACGGTTTCACATTCAACTCTATCACATATTTCCATATGTTGATTTAGAAAAACATTATATATATATTTCTTAAAAATATTTTGTCATTTGAATGATAAAATATTTCCTGGTTATATTCAAACCTGAAAAATCAACTTAATTTTTATGTTTGTTCTACACAGTGCTAATGAACAGCTTATCCCACTATAACCCACTCAGAGAACCACTTTCATTGATGTTGTTTAAGTACCTTTTAGTTAAGAAGTCAGTCAGATTTTCCTATGAAGTACTGGGGGGGAAATCTGTCCCTATAGTTCCACAAGTATTTTGCATTAAACTTGCTCCAATGAGCAAAGTGATTTTTGACAATTAAGGGTCATAGGAGAGAAAATCAAAAGTTATGTGTCAAAATTGTATCCCTCAATTTTTGTAACTGATCACATTATGAAGTTTCTTTTAATATGTAACAATGCTGTAGCTTTGCAAATCATGAATGTTCACTCCACTGAAACTGAGTCACATTTATAAATATGTTCAAAGTGCTCATACACCTTCCTCACTTCAACTAAAAGTGGGTTAACGGCTTTTGTGTTGTTTAAATTGAGGTAGAGATGTGGTTAAAGGAAAAAGAACAGACACTGGTGTTCACTATAAACACTAAGCACCGTGTTTCTGTGTCGCCTTTGTTTTCTCATAGCCATAACATGTGGTCAATGTGAAAACCGCAAATGTTCAAATAATATTTAAAAACATAATTTCACTTTGTAAATTATTCAGATTCAATGGAATGTTAGGATACGCTGCTTTGGTTCAGGACAGGGTGGCGTTTTTGTATTTATTTTCCTACAAATAATGAGATATTTTTCATGAGAGCAGGTTGATCCATCGATTTATTGATTGTGATGTCATTGTTATCAAAATGCCAAATCCTCAATGTAAAACTTGATTTAACAAACAAAAATAAAAAGCTTTGAAGGGACACATAAAAAAAAATTCAAGAAAACAAAATATCGCCTACTCAGACCATCACTTCCAGACCAAGGCCAGTGAATTACACAATAAAAGAAGGTACAGAGATGCCTGTTTTAGAAGCCTCCAACTTTGATCTACTATACTGATACATGAGAGTCTGGAGCAGGATCTACAGGAGACAAGAAGAGTAAGATAGAATTCTTTACACCAGTTCCCCCTGCACTCCAGCTCAGAGCTCTGCTGCCTCCCACCTTCAACTGTCTCCTTTCTGGTCTAACTGACCGTCCATGTCATTCACTCCTCAAAAAAGCTCATCTTCTAGACAACATTGCCCTCTTCCTGCAGGACTGTTTAACCTCTCCTTGGTCTCTAAAACCTAACATCCTTTCTGTCCCTTTCTTCTGGTTTAATTATGTTTCCCTCTGTCTTCTGGTCAAACCAACATTAAAAGAAACCCAAGGCCATGGATAATGCTCTTCTTATTTTAGGCTGCTTGTTGTATTGATGATAAAGAAAATGGGGCTTAAGTTTAGAGTACCTTGCTGTACATTTTGCCACATTATAAGAGCAGCACTTACTAAGTTTATTTCTCTCACTGTAACCAGGACACACTGGTTGAGTATGAGATGTCTGTAAAAATGTCATGCACTTCATGACACATTCTTAAATTGGGTGTCTTGCCTGAGCTGCTTTATCAACAGGGCCATCTAGTGTCCAGTTTGTCACACAACCACTTCAGCAAAAAAAAAAAAAAACAGCACCAGACTGCATCTGTTTTATAAGAACTGTCAGTGCATGTTTGGTTTTGAAGCAGTGATAAGTTAGTCAGAAGGAGTCGCAGCAGATCCTAGTGCAAGCGATCAGTTCAACCACTGAGCAGCTCCTTAGTGATGACAGGTCAGAGAGTGTTCATCATCGACAGATGGCAGCAACACTGTTAGTGACAAGAATGACACAACACAGTCGTTCCCTGAATAAATGGTCAGCATGCAAATTATAGTGTATTACTGAACAATGACTCAGACATCAGGTGTTAATGATGAACCTTTTTCATCCTATAAAAACAAAGTAATGTCATAGTTGTCCAGTAAAAAACAAAGTTGGTGACTTAGGAATTTTTTAAAAAGTTTTCCTTTATGATTTAAAAAAAAACTTTAACTTCTTAAGTGGGTAGAGGTTTCAAAACAGAGCTGTAGATGGATGACAAATTGTGTTTGAGTCCACCACCCGGTGGTGTGGGTGGTGATGTGGTGGGTGGGGTTTCAGCATACTACAACCTGGATGACTGAGAATTTGCATGGAAATGTTTAGCTGACTGCTTAGACACTGGTGTTTCAAATTTCCAAAAGAAATTACACACAGCTCTAGTGCTAAAGTACTCAGAGGTTAGTCTTGGGATGACTAAAGAAAAGAGGTACAAAGTACTGTATAATGAGAACTGTGAGAATCTAGAGTCTGCCACAGCAATCCTAGAAGTGCCAGGTATATACACTTGCATGTTGCTACTTTGTGCTGTCAAGTAATTGCTGCTTTTAATTTGCATTTAATGTAAAAATCTAATTTGCATTAAGTACTGTACAAAAGTCTTAGGCTACCATCAGATTTGTTGTTTTAGCAGTGCTATGATGACTATTAGCATTTATTTATCAGAATACATCTAGGAAATGTATATTTGAAAAAGTCTGAACAAACTCAGCAAACAAACTGATACTCCAGATGTGGTATTCAAGCTGTTCTAAAGAAATGTGTAGAACCCAGAGAGGTCAAAGACAAAAATAGGAGTGGAAGACCAAGAGAACTGTCAGAATCTGATGAGAGGTTTCTCAGAGTTCCGTCTTTGAGAGACCAGAGGAAATCCATCAAGGACCTGGCTCAGCATCTGGCAGCTTCATATGGATGCCAAGTTGATCCTTCCACAGAAGACACTCGATCAGGAAAGGCCTTTGTGGAAGGACAGCAGCCAACCATGTTTTCAGGAGGCAGGAGGGAGAAAAGGCTGAGATATGCAAAGATGGGAGTGCAGATCAGTGGAAAAGAGTCTTATGGAGTGAAGAATGGAAGGTTGAAATGTTTAGCTTCAGTCATCGACAGTATGTGAGGAGAAGAGTTGGAGGCTGCACTGAGGTGGAAGAACGAGTGTAGCAGCCTTGAGTGAAACATGGTGGAGGATTTGTCATGGTTTCAAGACTTCAACACAGTCTCCCCAAAAGAATTCAAGCTTTTGTTCTGAACATTTTGTTTTTTAATATTATGTACATATTTCCTGTATTTTTGGGCTATACTTTAATAAAGAAACAGAGAAATAAATATAAATTATCATCACAACCTTGCTAAAACAGCAAAACTAATGGTGTCCTAAAGG